GTCTCAGCACAGGACTATCGCTCCATAGCTTACTTGTTTCAGAGCTTGGAAACATGGCTTTGAGGGACTACAGCCCCCTAACCAACAATTTCCCAGCCAGCTCAGCTTAACTTATTCAGATCTTTTTCAGCATTTTTGCATTTCTGGACACACTGGTGCTGTAGGACTGATGCAGGTTATGAGTTTGTGTTCCCTTGAAACTTGGCCTTGCTGTACTTATGGCTGGTTTTCTGTCTCCCCTGCAGAATGCAAAGCCTGCTATCACAAAACCTGCTTCCGATCAGGACCTTGCCCCAAGTGTGAGCGGCTGCAAGCGCGGAGAGAGTTGCTGGCAAAACAGAGCATGGAGGCAGACCTTTCGGACTATGAGGATGAGCAGGAGGAGGATGTAGCAGAACCAGCTACGTGACAGTTAACAAGACTGGAGTTTGGTGCAAATACTCTGTCTCCAAAATCTGAACTGACAGTGAACTGAAAATAACTCTTCCATGGCTAACAGGCTACCTGGAGTGAAGGAATTGCAAAGGGGTCTTTTGCACTTGGCCGGGGAGATCCAATTTACTTCTCCTTGTGAGATGCAGAACAAGAGAGAGAAGAGTTTTGTTGCAGTTCCTGCCACTAACTTTGATGCACTACAAAGCTAAGCTTTGCTGCCTCCACAAAGAGGAGAATAGCTGCTTTGGTCTGAGTCCCAGCCCCGAATGCTTGAACCTTGCTGTGTTCTAAGAAAAGCTGGTGATCGGCTTGTCAAGGGTTGAATGTGTTAGCTCCTGGTGAAGTACCAAAACACCCCTAAAGGGAAAATAAGCCACTCAAATAATTTTACTCAAATGACTACTGTGTACTAGAAAAGGCCACTTTTAATTTGTTTTTCTCTTTTGCCAAAACCATTGCCTATAACTTTGCTGCTGCTCTTCACACACCCAGCTCTCATTTTGTGCCTGAAATCCACATGACATGACAGGGAAACCAGAGCTGAAGGGCTGTAAGGCATGCCCTTTTTCTGTTGAAAGCTACCTAGCTGTCTGAAAACTATGTGGTGGAGGAAAGCTGATAACTGGCAGGTGACACCTGAGTCAGGAATGGAGGATTGAGTGAGTTGGCAGACCATGTTTCCTATAAGTTATCAAAACGGTTTACCCGTAGATCTCTCTGTCTCTCTCTCTGTTGTTGTGAGTGTGAATACAGTCGTCTCTCCATTTTCATGGGGAATCCGTTCCGGAACCACCACCACCCGCGAAAATGGAAATTTGCATATATTCAAAGCCCATTGATTATAATGGGCACGCATGCCATTTTAATCCCTCCCTGCCATGCCGTCACAAAAAGTGAGACTGCGGACTCCAAGTCTGCAAGGGATGACTGTGTCACAAATTTGGCTTCTGCTCCACCCTTCCCCATCTCTCTTCTTCTGCCTGCTTCCAGTGTGTCTGTCTAGCAAATGAAAGCTGGGTTGGCAACTTGTAGATTGACAATAACTATCATATATGTTGGTTTTTATAGGAGTTGTATGGTGTGATGGTGGTGGGGCATTCTGTTTATCTACCACAGTCCTAATGTGCTAGGAAGTATTTAGAACCACCATCCACCAATCAGGTGCCTACCAAGTATTGCATTATAGCTCCCATAATCTCTAGTCAATATGGCCAAGGATGAAGGGAGTGGTAGATAAGCATATCAGGAGGATGTTGGGAAAGGTGTGGGTGTTTCTTTAGATCAGGAAGTAATGAGCTTTTAATGCTCCTGTAGTGTCTGCAGTGGGCCTGGTACCTATAGGAAGTGGGGGGGGGAGGTTGAAAGGGATGTGTAGCTTTCAACTTTTAGGATATAAGGCTATTTCCTGTTTCTGTCTGTACCCAATGTAGGATTTTAGGTAGATAAGAAGGATGGGGCCTTTTCTTTAGTGGGGCCTGGTGGTGCTGAGGAAGTGAATTCTTATGGGAGCTTGGCAGGAAGAGAGCTGAGAGGATGCTGGTGTTTCTCAAAAAATGAAGTAGTGGTCAGAATTGATCTTCATGCTGTCTGCTGGGCTTGGGTGATGGAGAAAGAGGACTTAATTGACGTGAGCACTGAATGCATCTTGGATTCATTACAAATGAAGGCCACGGGCTGACAGCAAGTCAGGAGAGTTTTGTTATGTTACTTCCTTTCCTCTCTGTGTGCTTCTCATTGTTAAAACGCACACAAACATACACCATCTATACAGCTTTTTCCATAGTGTCTTCATCACTTATTTCTGCTCTAAACAATTGAAATAGTCAGCTCCTTCCAATCCAGTTCTTGAAATGCAGTTGCTCTTCATCCTGTTAAGATTTGTAGAGCAGTCATGCCTCTGGGCTTCTGAAGCTGCTCATCCATCCATGTTCATGGCATAAACACCCTTCTGCCAAACACCTTGAAATGGGCTGTGTGCCTTTAGTTGCAGTGTGGGAAGAGAATAAATTCTGAGGCTCTTGAGGCAACTGCCTTCTAGACTGAACTGTTGTATGGAGTAAATTTCCATTCCCTTGTACATTGCTTGACAGCATCTTAGCATAATATGTGCAGCTTGTATCATCTTCCCACTTCCCCCATTCTCATTTGTGTTGCTGTCTGGAAATTAGACATGTAACCCTTGCAATACAGACAGGCTTTCAAGAGCACCTTAAACCATCCTACAGTATGTCATTAAGAAAGGTTTTGCAGAAGTGTGTAAGAGTCAGTGTGTTGTCTGAAGGTGGGCATTGCATGACATAGTGTCCTGAAAATGTAATTAAGAACTGGAGAGGGTAGAAGTTCTGGCACTGTTGGCTCAAGCGGTATTAAGCAGAATCTCCTTATTTTTTTGTAAAAGCTATTTTTGATTTTTTTAAACCATTTTTAAAAACTGTATTAGACTAAAATCCAGTTAAAGTGAGGTGATGTTAGCAGGCATTTATATATGCAAAGTAAGGAGTAACACTCTTCAGATTTGTGTTAATAAAAGAATTCTAAAGGGATCCTATCCCTGCTTTTCTTTTTCATAGCAATAGGAATATGGATTTTAATTTACTGAGTTTGCATAGTGCCTGGAGCTGTCCCTTGCTTCTTCTAAAATGTGGCAGTGGAAGAAGCAGCTGATGGTGCCTTGTGGTTTACATTCACTGAAAGATTATCTTTGCCACTCACTGGCCCAGGATTTGTGTTTTTGGTGGGAATGAAATGCCTAGTGTCTACATATAGTATGCCCAGAGTTTTGCAGAGGCCTTGTGGGATCCACTTCCAAACTTCAGAAGGATAATGCTGAGATAATGGTGTTTTGGAATGTGCTGAGTTTGTGATGGTTTTGTGTTTTAATCTGTTCATCAGCAAGGAGGAAGCAGTCACTACATCAGAGCACTGGACCAGTAGAAACAGAGGAACAAGGAGCAGGGAACATAGATGCCTTTGTGAACTCCTGTGGCAAGTTAGATGGAGACAATGAGGGACAGAGGTGCAGCATAAGCATCCTTGTGATACAATGCTTTGAGTGTCTGTATGTTCCCTTGAGATGTGTGTGTGTGTGTGGTGCTTGGCAGCCGGATTGTCTGCCCACTTCAACCTATTTAAATGCAGGGCCCACTATGCCACATTCATTTAGTAAACAGCCCTTCCTATAGCCTTGCAATTTCTGCAGGAGCCTCTTCCCATTCCAGAGAAGAAACTATTACCTGAAAGGAAGCCTGTGGTTTCTAGACACCACCTGGTCTAACATTTAAAAAACAACAATGAAAAGTTTGTGGAAATGTTGAATCTTTCCTCTGATCACTCTTGCTCAGGTCCTCCCCTCTCCCTCCCCTTCTTTTGAGAGCTTTGGATTTGTTAACTTTGAAAGGTGATATCCGTTCTCCAGCTTCCATATCTGACAAAACAAAAAACCCAGTGCCAGCCTGGATGTCTTCTGCATTGGTGTGTCTCCCAACCACCTCACTCTATTCTTGAGAGATTTTCTTCTTTCATATCTCAGGCCCAAACTATACATGATGCTCATCATGTGTTCAACATGGCAGCTTATATTTTGGAGGAGGCGAAAACAGCTTTAAGGCCACATTCCAGATTGTGATCTTGATAAGATCTGAAGCTGCCTTCCAAAACAAAAGCAACTAACCCAGCCTCTCCCAGCCTGGTTCGCCTCTGGATGTGTGGGGTTCTGAGTAGGTTGAGTGTGTTTGTTTAAAGGTATGGCTAGCATCATGCATGGTTTGGCCCTTGGTGCTGCTTCACTTGAGACTTAAAATGCTCATATCTGCACAGCAGCCCTTTAACTGATTCCCTCCAGTATGCTGCTTCTCGGAGATTGATTTCTCAAGAAACTTAGGTTGCCCATCTGTTTTTGTGAACACATTCAGCACTCTGGGCTACTTCTTTACCAGCAAAGTCATCTTTAGCAGGTACGGGGTTGTTTTTTGTTTTTTAGAAGAACTCATTTTGATTTCAGGACAGTGGGTAGCTAGTTTTATGTTACATTTTATGTAGAGTGGCCAAAAAGCCCCAAAGGGAAGAGGATGCGCAGCAGAGAGGTGAAGAAGCCACATTCTGCTCATCACTGATGAAGCTGTCATCGTTTTTAGTTTGGTGTTGCAGAATGATGCCATCTGTAATGTTGTAAATGGTATGTATGTGAAAGCTCTTTCAGAAGCCAGAAACTGCTGTTCCGTTGCACAGCATAACAATGAAAATACCATCCTTAATAAACTATATTAATAAACACATTATTTTCTTCTTCTTCTTTGCTGTTTTATGTTTAGTTGAAAACTTGAATAGTCTGGTTACTTAGTGGGTTTGGGGAGGGTGGCAAGGAACAAAATCAGGTTATTAAATTCAATACTTCCAGCCCAAGCATTTATCAAATCCATAGCTTCTAGAAACGTATTGCCAGGAGCTCAAGAAATACTGCTCTGGCACTTTCTTGGTGGAACTATACTGTGACGCTACTAGAAGGCTTTGTTTCTTAACTCTTTACTGTTGTGTAAACAAGGACCATTCTTCACATTAGCATGAGAAGCAGCATGGTGTAGTGGTTTGAGTGTTAGTTTATGACTGGAGACCTGGGTTCAATTCCCAGCTTGGCCGTGAAACCCACGGGTGACCTTAGGTAAGTCACATGCTCTCAAACCTGGAAGGCAATGGCAAACCTCCTCAGAACAAATCTTGCCAAGAAAATCCATGATAGTGTCGCCATAGTCGAAAATGACTTTGAAGGCACACAACAACAGCTTATATTAGTGCTGCAGCTATGTGTACTGTTAGCCTGAAAACCCATTTCTCTGGTCTGAAGCACCCCTAACTGCGCTCACCCTCATCGTCAGTGTTCCACATCCATGTTTGCAACACAGAGCTGAAGAAATGAGACAGGGGAAGTATTTGGAAGTATAACAAACAGATTTGCATTGCTAAGCATAATAGACCAAGAACCAGAGGAACTATGGTCTGAAGCCAGGGACATAATAAAAGAAGAATGCAGGCAGTCACTTTCAATAAACAGAGAAAAAACCATGGATGACAGAAAAAAAACAAACCACTACAAGCAATAAAGAAAAGAGAAGAAAAACAAAAGGGAGATTGGAACAAACTACAAATTATGAATGCAACAGTACAATGGCTTGTGCGGAAAAATAAACAAAATAACTATAATGACCAATGCAGAGAAATAGAAGACAACAACAAAAAGGGAAGAACATGAGATCTATTTCACAAGATCCAGGAAATCAAAGGAAAATTCAAACCAAGGACTGGGACGATCTGTGACAATAAAAATAACATGATTCAAAACCCGGAAGGAATAAAAAGACGTTGGATGCAATACACAGAAGAACTATACAAAAGAGATGACAAAATGAAGGACACATGGAATGAAGAGCCATATGAAGATGAATGCCAAATTCTAAAAAGTGAGGTGGAAACAGCAAAAAGAGAAATACCAAAAACAAATCACCAGGAACAGATGATATTCCAATTGAACTGCTGCAATCCACACTGACAGAGTCAACTCTAGTGCTAACCAACATATGCCAACAGATATGGAGAACAAAACAATAGCCAAAAGATTGGAAGCAATCAATATACTTCCCCATCCACAAAAAGTGAGACACAAGAGACTGCAGCAACTATAGGACCATAGCACTGATCTCCCATGCAAGCAAAATCATGTTCAAAATTCTGCAACACAGACTCCAACCACACATTGAGAGAGAAATCCCAGAGGCCCAAGCGGGGTTCAGGAAAGGAAGAGGCACTAGGGACCACATTGCAAATGTACGATCGCTAATGGAGCACATCAGGGAATCCCAAAAGAAAATCAGCATGTGTTTTATAGACTATAGCAAAGCC